CCATGTTCTTGCTGTTTTGGGTGTGTCTTTCCGTGACCTTGCAGCTGTCCCTGCTGACGTGTTCCTCTTCTTGCTGTTCCAGCTGTTGGGCATGCTGGTGGTTCAAGGGAGGCCAGACAGGTGGTCTGTGGGCCATTCGCAAACACACACTGACAGAGTGGTGTTGGCAGCTGACAGCCAACAGGAGACTGCTGGTGAGTGTTCTGTCCAAAGATGCTCCCAGCCCATACAAACTGCCCTACTTATCTGTTTCTCACAAAAAGGGACAGAATGACTGTACCATTGAAACAGCTTGGGACGCATGCTTTAGTCATGGCAGGCTTACCTGCTGTGTTCAGATCAACAGACATCATCTTTTGTCTTCTTCTCTACGATGACCTCCCGCTGCTTGGTAAGCAAGGACACTTGAAATAGGACACAAACATGTCATAGACTGGCAAACACCTCTGAGTTGAAAATGCAAGACGATAATCCTTTTACCCTGTGGAAAATGATCTGCAAGTTTCCAATCGCTGCAGAGCTTCACAAGTCATAGGGTAGGATAATGGCGACATGGCAGTCAGGGTCTTGACCACCATATGCTATGCAGTGCTGCTGGGTTATTTTCAACATTCCTCATTGCTACCACTTGAGACAATTCATTCCTTGCATGGTGGCCTTTTGTCCCCATTTGCATTTGCCCTGCTGTGCATCAGTAATTCATTGTCCCTTGATTCCTGCCGCGATCCCTAGAAAACCGCTGGGGTAGCAGCCTCAAGGCTGCGGAAGCGTGCTTTGCCAAAGCATCGAAACTCCCATCTTTCACCCCCTCCATTGGTGGCGATCAACACCCAAGCTCCTTGTCTGTCATTGTTACATCTGTCTGCGGAACAAACTGGTGCCATAAGCTGGTGCCACAAGCTGCTGGTCTCATGAGCTTGGCAGCTGATGGCGGCATTGGCACTGATGGGATGGGAATGAAGACCACCTTCCCGGCTTGGCTGTTAAATGTTTTCAACCTTTCTGCTTTGGAGATTTTGTTTGTGGCCATCTGCCTGCTGAATTACCTTGGCCAGCACTGCAGCAAGGTTGCAACACGTCTCTCAACCCAGCGATTCCAGTTTCAGGGTATAGGGGAGAATTTTACATGGGCTTTCACAGCATTCCAAGTGTGCATTGTATGCAGCTGTGAGTAGTGCATGGTGTTTCTGTGAGCATTGACATCTACCAGCACCATGAACCTGCCACTGTGCACACTTAGACCTTCCCTGCAGTAGTGCTATTTGCAGATGCAGCGAGCAACCCTGCTTGAGTAGGGCAAGATGCATCAGGCACACGGGCGACCAACCCCCTTTGCAGACAGCATATAGCTGCGCCCAAATAAATGACATACGCCAGCCGTTTGATTAATGCCACCCTCCCACGTCTGGTCTCCACCGCCAAACGGTGTCGAACGGCAGTCGGCCGCGAATAGTCCTCACCAGTGATTTGTGCCGTTCCTGTCAGATGCCAAGAGGAGCTTAAGCCGAGCTTTGCACTTTGCTGAGCTGTCACGAAGAGAGAGGTGTGCTTTGGCGGTTTTGCATGCATCGAAAATGCGCCTCGATTTCCAAACAGTATCCGCAATGAGAATGGTGGGAGTCCACAGCACAATTTGGGTTGCCGACAAGAGCCCAGGAAGGCTGTGGCCAAAAGCTGACAGACACCTTGATCACTGCAAGAGCGTGTATCTGACAAACATGCCAAGGTTTGGAAGGCTGGACATACAGGCGCGAAGCGCAAAGACAGCCTAGGTTTAGAAAAACATGGCCAAAGGCTGAAAACGATAACTTCGGAATCACGATTCAGCGCAACGGGAAGAGGTGTTCACAAGAGCATGATGGCGGTGGTGCTAAAACTCTTGAAAGGATGTAGTGGTTCCAATTTGTTGTCTAGCGCAAGGTTCTTCATGAATTGGGGGGAAATGGGTTGGGATATATCGTAACAAGGCCAATGCAAATGGAGTGGGTTGAAAGCGCGTGTGGCACTTGACAAGGATATTTATTAAAACTGTGAATGTCGCGTTTGTGTGGTGACAACTAATGCAATTAACATCCAGATCGACTTAAATCAGCTAAGGAATCCACATCTGTTGACAAATTATTTCACTGAGCTGATCTCCAAGAGCTATACCAAGAATTGGAGCCGGACACGGCGTATGGGACTTTTGGGAGGTAATATTTGAAGCAAAAAAATGATAAAACCTCTGGAAACAATGCGGATTTTCCCAAATGCCAAGTTGGGCTGTTCTTGCTGCTGTTGTGGAGAGCGATCGCGTTGGGAGTTGCTTGGGCACACGGATTAATGCTCCGTTGCAGTTGTCATTAAAACCCATTCTTTCCTAAAGAATGTGAGAACGTCACAGTCCGTGGATCAGGTTTGCCCACGCGGAGCCAAGTAGTGCCCTTGCGCCTTGCAGATGACGTCGTGTGCGGTACAGTTACGTCGAGACACGACGGGTGTATGCCGTGTACGTTTGCACTGCAAAGGTGCAGAAGCTGCGCCGCTCTTTTGACTTTCCAAAAAGTTGCATGTTCGTCCACATTGCATAAATTGTGTTTCTCACTGCTGATCTGTGTTTTTGTTTTGGCTTTTGTTTCGTGCTCAATTGATAGTTTTGCTGAGCTAGTGCTCCTTCGTGTGTGCTTCATTTCTTCGAAACGTGTTTCCTGTCGGCTTTCCCTTCCCGTGGCTGTTCTTGGCCAATTTTCTGGCCTCCCATCGTATCAATGCGGGAGCTGGTGGGGAGGGATCTGGTGTCAAGCACAAGGATGTGCAGTGACTGTACCCTAATCTACTACAAATCTACTAATCTACTAATCTACTACTAATGTACTAGTAATCACTGATCATCGTGATTGATCACCGATCAACGGATGTCGATTGAGCGATGACTTCGCATTGCAGCTGCCGCCCACCCGGCGCCCACGACCGACGAGGTCTTCTGCGTCCAGAACGAGCTGAGCGAGGTCACCATCCTCCTGACCGTGACGTCGCTGGTGAACGGCAACGAGGTCGACGACAAGACGACGGCGAAGTCGGGAACCCCCGCGTGCCTCCAGGCCCCCCCCGACGGCACCGACATCACCTTCAGCACCTTCGTCAACGACAGCAAGCCGCCGATATTCCTGTTCAACGTCACGTTTGCCGACATTCCCACCATGGACAAGGCGTGCACGGACTACAAAGTCACCGGGAGAGGCTACTACCCTAATTGCTCGTCGGCTTTGTGACGACAACTGGCGGTCGTGCCGCCTTTGCGCTGTAGTTTGCGCTCTAGTGTGCGGCTGTAGACACGCTCGGAACTTTGTTGATTGGCCGTGGACCGCTGTGGGCGTTGGGGCTGAGCCTCTTGTAGAAGAAATTGGTTCAAGGCTTGGCACTTTGCGGAACTTGCTTGTGCACGTCTCTCCAGAATTGGTGCTGGCTGTCACCGCCAGCCTGGCGGTCTGGGAGAGCACAAGGGGATAGGGCACCGGCTTGTGGGGGGTGAATTTTGGCGTCCTGCCGCTCTGGGTTGGGTGCGCTGGACCTAGGATTGCTCGAGCTCCGCGTTAGGGATAGGTTGAAGGGTCTTTAGACTGGGGGAAAGCGCTTTTGTGCGAAGGGCCCGTGGGGGCCTCGTTTTGCACAAGGAATGAGACCGCACTTGCGTGTGGCATTTTTGGGTGGTGGCTATCGTGGGTTTGGCGGCGCGTGTGCCATGGTGCGCGTGCCACAAGGCGGGTTTGGCGGTCACGTGGCGCCAACGGGGGCCCGTGGACCGGGCGAGAGACAGCATATATAGCAGTGGGGGCACTTGCTGTACACTAACTTCATTTAATGGACGTGTGAATTGTTTGGGTGGGAGCGGCAAGGCCGCTGGAATTGCGCGGTTGCTCGTGGGACGTGTGACCTTGTGATAGTGAGATGAATGAGAAGGGCGGGCGGGATGTACCTTTTTAAGAGGCTGGGATGAATGAGCCACGCGGGGGATCGTGGCAGTGCTCGAGGCGATGGAATGCACCGGGCTCGTGGCAGGGTGTGGTGCCGGCAACGGCCGCGGGAAACTTAAAGTTGGTGTGCGTCGCGCGGTGCATTCTGAGCCCTGTCGAAGCCCATGCTGTTGATGCCTGGCGCCGTTGCTTGCTCAACGCCGCCCTTCAGCAGCAGGCTGTAGCATGCTTTGAACGACCAGTGGGGGATGTTGTCTTCTGTCAAGTTGGCACGGGACTGGAACAATGGTCCGACAGGATTGGGACCTTTTCAATGCTGGCAGTTGGAGCTGCGAGAATCAGTGTTGCGTGTAGTGCGTAATGGGATGAGACGAGGAGTGACAAAGGGGCGACACAATGTCGATTTTGGTGCGCTTTAACGTCAAATTGACGCCCCACCCCACCCTCTCCTGTGGCGTTCAGCCTCATTTCGATCCCAGCATGACTCGGCAACATCACCTGAGAGCGCGGCGCACCGTTTAAGTGTAGAACAGAGGTATCGCGAGCTGGCGGCCCTGGTCAACAGACGACACCCGCGGGGGCCGCGACACTGTCTGAGGCCACCATCTCTGAGCTGCGACACCTAGATCTATTGCCTGCCCTTGCTGAGGGCACGGGACGGGCGAATTGATCGCCATCCCTGCAATGATGCATTCCTATGCAGGACGGGCAACCAACAGGTTCGTCGTACGTGCCCCCAATCGGCACCTGTCAATGACTTTGTGGCACCCCCGTCCCAAATTCCCCCGCTTTCTCCCCGCGTGTCCAAGCCTGCGTCGGAGAGAAGGGGGTCGTTGGGGCGCGTGTGCGTGTGCCGTGCACGTGCGTTGGCAGCCAATGCGCCGGGCAACGAGCACGGCGGCACAGGGTGGTTTGTTCTTGTGTTGTTCAGGGGCATGCAATTAAGGGCTGCGCCATATCGGTGACTTTCTGCACCAAATCGCTGACTGCTTGCACCAAATCCCTCCAAAACTAGCCTAACCTAATCAGGGTTCTTTCTTATTGTGTGGTTTAGGGTTGTGGGGCCGTCCCGGGCTGTTGTGCCATTGAGATGCCTGGGCACCATGAGTGCAGCTGACCTTGGCTTGGGTAAATGGCATTGACAGGTACCTAGCATCTGCGGTGTGCAGCCGCTGTTTCCAATCAGGCTAGACTGTGAATTGTCACTGGACTGAGCACACAGAGTGACAAAACACGGCCCGTGCATCTGATGCGCCCATCATCGCCTGTCTATGTGCGCGGGCTGTGATTTGTCAAGTTTATGGCAAATGCAATTTGTGCACTAGCGGGCATGCGTGCCCTTGAGAGGCACCGGGCGGCCAAGCGATTTCACGCTACGACTCTGTACGCCACAGCCAGCACGGACCGCATTCCTGCGAAGCTGCTCGCATATCATCAAGCTGAGACTGGCTAAAAGAGGCATGCCAGCGGCAAGTCTCGAAATCTGGGCTCCTGCAGAGGACTGGCAGGAGCGCGAGCAGGATGCCCTGGCAGCCGCCGTGCTGCATGGGATCAAGTGAATCCCGGCTGTCGAGTGGCTGACTACAAGAGCCGAGGAAGGAACAGCGCGCTATCTATTGGATCGTGTGGCATGGAGTAAAATTCCATACACGGAATATTAGTGATATGGTGTGTAATATGGGTCCACCATGGGTTGCCCCGGGTGGTTGTACGTGAAAGCAGTGCACAGCTGGGGTTGGACAGGAGTTGGCGCAATAGGGATTTGGGTGGAGTCGCAACAGGCGGCCTGGTGGGCGCGGTCTGTGGGCTCGATTGCGTGGAGCGCATCTACAGACTGGAACATTCCAGCCCAAGCTTTGCTGCGCGGTCTTGCGCTGCTGCCATCGAGGAAGACCGCATGTCGAAAGCGCTGAGCAGCCGCTGAACTCGTGTGGAGATTTTCCGTTTTTCTGTGCAGTGAAAATGCCCACAGTGCGGTGGACGCTCGCAGGGCTATTGCACTGAGCGCAGCCTCTGCCGGATATTTTCATCTACTGGGTCCTTTCTTCAACCCGACTCCTCGGCAGGGTTACCACTCAGGTGGCCACCGGCTCTGCTCCTACCATCATTACACACTGGGGATTCTGTGACAAGATGATCCTGGCTGTCCAACAGATGACAACGTGGATTTCTTCCACGCTCAGGCGCGCTTCAAGCTTGAAGGCTTAAGCAGACTGTAGGACCATGAGTAAATTCGCAGCAAGCATGACGCAGTAGAGGTGTCCAGAGGCGGCACAAGATCGCACTACATTCATCGCCGATCATTGCCCTGATACCGCAGTATTAGCTCCGACAAGTGACGAGATTCCTCGGTTGTCGAGTTTTCCCCGCCATTGCTTTGGCGCGGACTCGGAATGGATCTGCAATTCCACTGGCCAATATCATTTCAATTCGCACCAACTCTAGTTGGACGCGCTATTTCGCTAAGGTGCAGCACGCAGCAGCTGCCCGCTCAGCGCCCAAGCTATTTTCCGTACAACCCGTCGTCGTCGTGGTCGTCGTCCACATCGTCATCATCGTCGTCGTCGCCGCCGTCATCGTCGTCGCTCTCCTTTCTGAGCATGCACTCCCCGTCCTCCAAATACCATCCGTTCCTGAACCACGTGCAAGTCGTCAATCCGTCCTTGGAAGTGCACTCCTGGCAGCACTCGGGGCACCTCACGTCCAGCACCTTCTTGCCTCCCTCACCGTCGTCATCATCTACGTCATCATCGTCGATGTCGTCGTCGTCGATATCGTCATCATCGATGTCGTCGTCGTCGATGTCGTCGTCGTCGGTGTCGTCGTCGTCGATATCGTCATCATCGATGTCGTCGTCGTCGTCGTCGCCGCCTTTGGCAACCTTGCACGCACCGTTCACCAGCTTCCAGCCCTCCTTAAACCACTTGCAGACGGTGAGCTCGCCCTTCTCCTCACACTCCCCGCAGCACTCCGGACAGGTCACCTGCCGCCTGCACTCCCCCTCCGTGATGAACCACCCGCCCTTGACGGCCCCGCAGTAGCCGTTCTTGCACTCCTCGCAACAGGACGGGCACTTGGGCCTCTCGACGCACTTCCCGTCGTGTAGCTGCCAGTCCGACTTCACGGACAGGCACTTGCCGGTGCCACTGTCGCAGGTGGAGCAGCATTCCGGACATTTGGGCGTTTGGAAGCAATTCCCGTTGCGGATTTCCCAGTCAGCCTTGACGGAGACGCACTTGCCGTCTTGGCACGTGAGGCAGCACAGCGCCGGGCACTTGGGCGCGCCCGTGGGCTTCTTGACCAGCTCGATGCACTTGCCTTCGAGGATGCCCCAGCCCTCCTTCACGGTGATGCACTCGCCCTTCACGTAATCGCACGCCGAGCAGCAGTCGGGACAGTCCGCCAGGAGATGCCTAGGGGTCTTCGAGATTCCGGTTGGCTGTCCGTCTGCTCAAACACCGCACCCGTCAATTAAGTGGAATGTCCGGAATATTATATATGGAATTATCTGGAATATTCCAGAAAACAGAGCATCACAAAATTACAAGAAAATGGAGCAGAGAAGGTACCGGTAAGTAAGACGAGGAAAGAACACAACTAAAGAAATAAAACAACACGCAAGAGAAAGCGATCCCGGTAAAAATCGGGCATGAAGATCAGCGCAGCGGTCACATAAATCATGTCTTGGACAAATACCGCATACATCTATGTTTCGACCGTATAAGCCGCCAGCTGCAGCCGGAGCCACCACACTTTTGCCGGCGCCATGGCGACGCGGCTCAGGGCTGTACCGCAGACCATCCCAATGTGCGTTGGGATAGACCAAAAGACGTCTTTGGGAAAAAAGATACGTCTTTAAATGGTAGAAAACGACATGTTTGCGATGCCAACTCTCTAGGAGAAAAAGGGTCAAATAACACTTTTGCGAACACACATAAAACACATTTCATCAAAGTTCTGCACGCTAAGAACACAAAAATAACACAAACCCGTAAACTTTTTACACGTTTGGACACGTTTATTTGGACCTTTTTTTCCTAGTGACTGCGATGCCATTTTGACAGAAAATGGTGCTGTCACAGTGATTGCGATGGCACAAAAGTGGCTCAAAGTGCAATAAATAAATACATCCAGGAAATTTGATGTTGAAGTGAGTCTTCAACACATGCAGGAGCAACATACAGCAGCAATATTGCCGTGGCTTTGCGCACAAGGCGGTTTGACAAGCGCTAGTGGGACAGTGCGCCCAAGCCAGTACACTTTCAAAAAGTGATATCATTAACGAGTGCGATCCACGGACATGTGTGGCTGGAACTGAGAACACTCTAGTAGTAGTAGTAGTAGTAGTAGTAGCCGAAACCTGGCACATATAGGTGAATAAAAACTTCCATTTACGCCAGAATTTGAAAGCCATCTTCCAAAGTGAACGCTGCAGTGCCGCCCACATTCGAATTTAAAATTGGCGTACAAGTTCGTGTATCGTATTTCAAGTTCACTACACCTCTGGTAAGCTTCGACATTGCATTCCCTTGTCACATAACTCGAGTGAGTGGGGTAATCTGGTGCGCACGTCACATGGAAACACACATTTGCAATATTGTCCCCAAATCAGAGACCCTTATTCCACATACGATTTTACATCGCATCTGGATATACCGCCGATATAAATTACGTGCACAACCTCATGCTGGAACAGCCGTTGCCAGGGCATCCATGAAACTCCTCACAACAAAGTGGGTACGGTTGTTGGCCACTTTCTCATGCCATCTAACTGTCTTGGGCCTGAGATGCTATGAGTTGTATTGCTTGCTCTTCGTCTTGAAAGATAAGGACGTAAAATTATGGGAACGGTGTCATTCCTACAAAGGCTCGTGGAAGTTTTCCATCAGTATCCGTGACACCATACAGCTTTGGTCGCCTGGGACTCACTCAGATGCCCGGCATTGGGCAAACATCCCAGAAAGTTTCCTCATTTCATAACCTCACTTCAGGCTTGCAGACGATGCCTCAGTTTCAATGTTTCCCCGCTGCACGCTTGGGACGCAAATCACCACATTTTCCGCAAATAAATATAATTTTCCGCAAATACATATAATTTTCCCAGCATCGTTTCAGACAGGTGTCACCGCAGCTGAGCACCCCCCCAAGATGAATTCCGGGGCTTGCACGCGCTGGCCCCAAAACCCCAGTCCCCAACCCCTGGCCACAAAGCACAAGCGGGCAACCTCACGTGAAAGCCATGTTACAAATGCCGCCAGCCATTCGAATCCCGCTGCAACGGCCACGCCGCCAATCTGCGGTTATCGTTTCAACGGCAAACCAAACCATGTGCCATTTCTCTCGGACTTGGGTTCGCCAAACCCGGTGCGCTCGCAGTGAGCAAATATTGCGACAATGATCCTCACGGGATACAGCGCAATACACGGTCAATCCTCCACGCCAAAGATAAACAAAGAGCGCGCATCCCGTGCAACCCCATGGGAGGGCGGGTGAACGCCATCCCCTGCCGCCCTGCGCCTGGCCACGGCTGCCTGCGGTCTCAGCGCCCAGAGGCGCATAAAACCGCACGCGCAACTCCCAAATCCGCGTGCACGCTCGAGGGCGCCAAAGCTTGACAGCGCAGCGCTCGAAAACCCACGCGACGACGACCAAGCACGGAGCTGAAATCGCTCCCATCCCGTCCCCCTTCCCCCCTCCCCTTCCTACCGTGGACTTCGCCCACACGGCTGCGCAGCGAGCCGTCAAATGTGTGGCGGTCTCCCCCGCTGTGGCACCAGGCCATGACCGTGGCGCCGCGGCACTCTTCCCCCGGTCCCACCCCACCCCACACGGCGCCCCACACTGTGGGGCCCACACTGGCGCTTCGCGCACATAGCGCCCACCGTTGCACCCGCTTAAGTTCGCTGCCGCCGGGCCAGCCCCCTCCAGACGACACTGCTGTGAGCGCACTGCCCGCGGCTGCACCTCCAAAACCGCTGAGGCCCAGTTGGTGGCCCAACGACAGTGCTGGGCGGCGTTTTCAGTCGCGCCCGCTCCCAGCTGCTGCCACAGGGCTAGCGTCCAGCAAAGTGCCACTGCCTTGAGCGCACCGCCCGCGCCTACACCGCTAAAACACGGTCGGCGGCCCTAACGACAATGCCGGGCTGCTTTTTTAGTCCCGATGGGTTTCGAACATAGCACGCCCAAATCTGCGCCCGTTCGCTGCCCCTCCCACAGGGTCAGCCTGCTTTGAAGCGGCACCGCTGTGAGTGCGCTGCCCCGCCAACACCTCGGTAAACCTTTAAGGCCCACCTGGTCGCTCGAGCGGCAGCGCTGGGCTGCGTTTTCAGTCCCGAGGAGGGCGCACCTGAAGCGAGGCCGGCGTCGCGGGCCGCCGCATGGCACGCGAGCAGGGCCATCGCCACGATCGACATGAATCCGTGCGCCTTCATGGCGATGCGTGCGGGGCTTCCGGCCGGGCGGCCCGCCGATTAGCTGCAGCGGGCCAAGGGAAATTCCCCCGGGCCGGGAGTCCAAGAATTCATAAGCGGGGCTGGGACCTGGGTGGGGCGCTTTGAGCGCTAGGCGGCCCCTGGTGATGTGAATTTCGCACCTGGCTTCTTGTCGGGCGTAACGCGGTGGCCCCTGCTTGGGGTGCATCATGGCCATGATGTACGATGGGCATTAGGGGCTGGCTGCATCCCACGCTCCTGGGGTTGCGAAACTGAGGCTTTTCCGGGCTGGACATGTGTCCGGGTCGGTCAGGGTTCGGTGCCGCCACTGCCGTGCCAGGCGCAGATAATCGGTTGGTGCAGCCGGACCCCAGCAAGGCCAAGCACTTCTGTTGCTCGCTCGGTTGTCAGCATGTCGGTTATACGAAAGACATGCTCAGAACCGGGCGAGCAACAGATGGGATTGGCCTGACGGGTCTGGCTGCACCGACGGATTGCGCCAACGCGTTACGCGCCAACCCGTACGGGTGCACCAACACGTTGGTCATTGAATGAACGAATTTCGTTATTGATGCGGTAAAAGGCAATATTTGAATGAAACACACAATATGACATGTGCGAAAGCCCACATATATCAAGGCGCACGCAGGAGACAACAGTCGGGTGTAGTGAAAGCGGAGAAACCGGGATGATTGTGACTCGGAATCATGGTTTTGGGATGACAAGACCCGTTATCCAGTTCCAGATCCGCTACCCAGTTCGACGTTCATCACAGAAGGGGGGCAACGGTTCCCTGCTGCAACACTCCAAGAGCATCAACGTTGACGGCGATTTATTTCCTTGGGTTGTGTTACGTGGCCGTGGCCACACAGTCATTTGTAGCGATTGATCTCTTTACATCAATGGGTGTCGATTCATAGTCACTGAGTGCCATACTCTGCGGGGAGCTGTTTTCAGAGCTTTTTCATCTATCGTGACTGCTGGTTGTCCCTACTTTTTTGCAGTTCGTTTATTTACTATGAGAAGCCTGCCCCATTCTCTCCCAGTTGCTGTCTTTCTTGGTGCGTGCAGCTGTATTTTGCATACTGCATATACAGGACTTCTGGGCATTGGCTGCAGGGTTTTGTGCATTTTCATCCCATTTCTGATCCCACTCGTATTGAGAGTTGGTGCTTCCAGTTCCAATACTCCTGGGATTGAATGTTTGCTCACATAAACTAAAGGCTAAAAATAAAATCATGTCTTCACGCCCAGGTAGCACAAATTTGGGATTCTAGGTATCGCAAATGCAGACACCTGCAAAACGCGATTTTCTGATAATCGGGATGTCATCACTCCAAATTGCGCTTAGAGTGCACATAAGCAGACTACTGAAAATCCAAAATTTTCAGTCTGCTACCTTGATATGAACTTTCAAAATGGTCTGCAATAAGATTGTGCCATTTGCATTCGCGGTTTCCATCAATTTTAGTAGCACTTGACACACTGGTGCTGTTTTCCTTGCCAAACATTGCGCTTACGTCAGCCTACTACTTAGTGCATCTTCTCCCCGGACAGACCCACACCCCGCCGCACCCCTACCCCACCCACTCCGTGGGCGGTGATTTACCAATTAATTTAATGGCAGGGGGCATATGCTCCTCTGGCATGCATGTCTCGTGTTCAGTCATCGTATCGCGCTGTTTAGAAGTGCGTCCGCGCAGTGACACGCGCGGCTGCTCAACGCACGGTCGTGTTTGGTGCATCGACCACGTTTCAACACCATTTCAGGAAAGTCTTACTAGAAAGTGGTCACTTTCTAGCACGTCCTCACATCAATTTGAGGTACTTAGCCTTATACCAATTTTCCCAAGACAGGGTTGTTTGGGGATCCCTTTTGATTCCGAAATATCGTATCACAGTTCGATGTCCAGCTGCCCCTTCCGTCTTATCGCAAGATGCGCACGCCTCGTGCCACCTAGCAAGAGAAACGCAAGTCCCCAAAGGTTTCAGAATCCAGAGGAACGCGCAGCTCAAAAAGAGGGCCAAATAGCAATTTTGCCAATTAGACGCAATCTTGTACACATTTTAAACACATTGACATACTGTTGAGGTATAAAGCAAAACCAGGGAAAAGAAGTAATCCATCACTATTGTACTCTTGCATGAGAAAAACTACCGCTTTCTTCATGCTTGGAGCCCGCAATACCTGCACAATTGCAACGCAAGGCACGGCTATGACGACATGTGCCAAACAAGCACAACGTCTCTAATTCTCAAGGCACTGTGCACAATGCTTCTCAGCAGTCTGCCGCCAGGTAAAGGCCTCTGTCTGTCCGCAGTGTGTTAAGAAACATTGCGCACAGTGGATGAGCTAAGGCGCAAAGGTGATGTAGCATTTTAGGTGCCTTCTAGTCTAGGCTAGAAAGCACCAACAGTGCTAGTTCCCCTCTGAAACTTCTCCTGGCGTTTTGGAGCGGGGATATCTGCGCAACCCTTGTTCTTCTGCGAAATTGACCACTTTTTCCGGATTTACTCATTTTTGTTCGTCGACCTGGCTGACCTTTGCATAGAATACTTTAATGCGCGTCGTGTATTTGCAAATCTGCGATCTGGTAAGAATGAGCAAGATGTGGCTTTGGAGTTCCTGCACCATAGATTGTTCGACCTTCCACAAGGTAGCGTAACGTTTGGCCTTTCTTGTGGAACGATAGCGAAGAGCGTAATAGTGCCAACTGCGCAACAGCCAATATAAAGAAACGCTTTGGCTGGTTTCAATAAAAGTTGGGTTTGCTGCTGCCCACAATGTTGCTTGGTGACTGTCTGGGAATCGCCCCTGCCGTGACAGTACCGGCTCCTCCCACAAAATTTCCACTTTCCAGTTTGTCTGTGTTCCTGATTGCCCAGTTCAAGGTGTGGTCACCAGAACCGACAAATATCTGAAGAAACGAATGAGTATGCCATACTATGGATCAACCAAGTGGATTCGACAATGATACTTCCATTTTTGAATCCATGTGATGGATCCAAAATATTGCATTCGAATTATTTATTACACTGTTATCGATAGTTTGTTTGTTTGCATTATCTATCGTCCGTACATCCCAAGGTAAGATTCTTTTGATACTGAACATGAATTTTTTTGTTCTGTTGGTAGCACACGATTGCGAAACTTGGGAAAATCGAAAGTGGCGTCACAAAATGTCTTTGTGGTCCATGAAACAACGCGCTGAATGTGTTGTGCGCCCAGTAAAGCCGGAGCCTTAATTGGATACATTTGCGGTGCTGTTGCATCACAAATAGACCACTAAGAAATTTTTGTCCTTGTCGTTGGTTCAACAACACTGGGAAATCGTTGCATGTCTGTCGTTCAGCAACCGCACAAATGTGACCACAAATGTGAGGCTGAAATACAGAACATGTGCCGGCATGTCGAGAGCGCCGTTTCATTGTAGAACGAAGGTGTGGACTGGTGCAAGAAGCGCTGCAAAATTTTGCACTGCAAAACACATCCATGTATTTTTGAGTTCCACTGTTGACCGCAGGACAACCTTTTGTAGGATAAATCGTGATCAAAATGCATGTACGCAACAACGTCATTATCAGAACTGATAGATCATTGGAGCAATTGGAATTGAATGTTTAATGTTGTTCGAAAACGCACCTGCAGACTTTTAAGTGATGCAAACTGGCGAGTGATGTAGATTTTCTGCTAATCGTTCTTTGGCGCCCCCGCACGCGCGACGAATTTTGGTTACCGTTGCACCCTGCAATCTCGGCTGCCTCGCGGCGCCCCTCGCTACACCCTCTGCAACAGCAGCGGCCGCCCGACCAGCCGCGCTTGCATAGCTCGAGCGGGCGGCCATTTTGCAGTGGCCGAAGTATACGGGAAAGCACTTTCTTACAAGCCCATGCTCGAAAACATGCATTTGTATGTCCTTCACACGCGCTAGTCAATCTCGTGTTTGACTTCTAAAGTTTAGAATCTAAACTCGCGACTGGAACCGGCCGCCAGTAAACGCTCTCCGCGAGCCACCACGTGTACTCATAGGTGGCTTGCGTCCACGTTCACACTACGCTCACTGCGCGCATTTTATTTCACTTTCATTTGCACCATTCGCATGTCAGCCTATTGGCTGCACTTCCGTCCTACCGCATTATTATGTCGCTGTACTTCGCGCTCCGCTTTCACCCACCTTACTAATAGGCAGTTATTGCGCATTAAGTAACCCGCTTATCGCTTTTCATATTATTCTACATGTCTTTTCCATCACAGCACACGCACTTTGAAGTTTGTGGACCTAAGCTTGGCATTCGAGAATTGCACTTTAGTTGTATTGCCGAACCTTCGCCCTCGCCACGCAATGTGGAAGGGAAAAAGAAAGAAAAACGTTCTGTTACACATATGCAAAGTAATAATCATGGTGCTGAAATTCAATATTCAGAAGGTTTGAATACCCTACGATACTTAAAGAACCGCGGATTCAAAAGAGGCAATGGGATTTGTAGGGTAATTTGTTGGTTACCAGCTACCGTAGCAGATTCCATTGCAATTAATATGTAAGGAATCTCGCATACTGCAAACAACTTATCCCTTCGGAATTGCTGCCGTTGCACCCACCGCCGAATCGCGACAGGTTCAATCCCCGGCCAGGCGTTCACCCTAAGGTTTCCATGACACTTTCTTTCCTATTCGGATACTTCGAATGCATATGCAATGATTACAATGAAAATTTACACTCTGTATTCGCATCTGCGGTGTCGAAATCATTCCACTCCACAGTCGATCTTGTGACATATGGCACGCATAATATACACAGCATGTGACAATGTTACCGAATTGTGTCATATATTCTACATACATCTACCCATTCGTGTTCTAAAGCACACGTAGATCTCAATGGTTCTATCTGTACAAACACTAGTAACAAAAGTCCAAAACGAAGTACATTATGTACGCTACGTAGCATATACGCTGGTCCAGAGGGCATCGCCGTGCTTAGCCCGGTCGCCCACGGGTCATCAACGCCGCGGTGTATCCCCGCGCCCTCCAGCGTGGAACCCATTGAAGCTACTGGAAGGGATTTCTCTACTCCGGCCCCCGGTAACGAAGCTTCAGGAGCGCCCCGCCTCCCCTGCCGCTTGGCGTTGCCTGCAAGGCTCACTGGAGAATTGACCGGCGCGGAGGTTTTGAGCCGCCCTTGCCGGTCGCTGTTGACCCTTCGCGAGTCGCGGTGCCCGAGGTTGGGGCTGGCTGGCGCGGAAAGGCGCTGCCCTGTGCCAACTTAAGTCCCTAAGTTTGGGGGCGGAAGAGGGCGGTGGGAGGGCGGAGACAGCGCGGGGGATGGTTCGATTTCACGAGATGTGGGTCGTGCATGTTTGCATTTTTGTACTGCTCCAACGCGGGGCGACAGGGTGCAGTGCAAAAAAACGTGCGGTTCTCGTGCCGCGATGTGCTTTGGCAATTTGGTGCTGCCTGGTGGGAAACAACGAGGCCTGGGACAGGTTGGGGACAAAAGACCGAGGGTCCTTTTTGCGTGCTGGAATATGTTTGCGCCTGTAATGGGCCATCCATTGCCAGAATTTGTGGATGTGCTTTACGATGCCATCGGCGTACATTCGGTTGATTTGTCAAGATGAGACGAATCCGGCCTCTGCGCCCGTCGCTTACTGCCTATGACAATTTTGTCAGTTGAGAGGCTTGTGCCCACCAAGTCGGCGAGTTTATCAGTTGATTTAATCGATTGCCCAAGGAAATATCTTTGTGGTTCTCAATGCCCGTGCATGTTCAAGTGGCAAACAGCGAATAATTCAATTCCGGCAATTTTCAGCCAAAATGAGAAAGCGATATTTGAGACCAACCACTACTTTGGAAGCACAATGATATCGCAGACGTCGTCGCGGCGCAGTGAAGTTTAAGCGCTTCGTTTGCAGTTTGAAAGCAGCTCTCAAGATATGCTGTGTCACACCCACGACTCCCACCCAGTTGTATGATCTCCATTGTCATCAGTCAACAAGGGCATCTAAATTTCGTTCGCGGGGGGCTGTTAAATCTCCTATTCGAAGCTGCGGGATTTGCTACCAATTTCATTCGATTCTGGCGGTGTAAAGCATCAATTTCTTTCAGCACATTTCCATGAAAGTGGGCATATTAAATTCATTTACGGCACTGCATACACGGCAACACAAACATGATTTTTTGCGTTAAGCTTCAGGATGTGTGTCGGCGCTTAAGTTACGGCTCAGGGCGTTCAATTTACGCCCTTTTGCTGGCGTTTTACTCTCTTCCTCCCGCTAAATATTTTTCTTGGGTTGCATATCTCCCGCACCTTGGCTTATTCTTTTTTTTGCATAACTACTATTCATTGGTGCGCTATCCGTTGCATAGCATTTATCTGTTAATTGATGGCCATTCTATAAGAAAACGGCACCCAGCTATGCACAAGCACGCTCCCGCATGGCGAAGAATCCTAGAAGGGGAGCGACTCAGGCGTGAAAAGTTTTGGCTTGAGCATATACATAGTAGAAGATACTCCATGTGAAAAATCCACACCAACAATTGCGAACAACAACTGACCAACCACGCCAAGGCCATGCCCATGTATGTTTATTTCCATGGAAACAGACAACCACATTAAGTCGCGATTCCTAATAATACCGCGCAACACAGCTGACAAGAAAAAGCGTCATTCCGGCATATGCCAATATAAGCCTGTATTTGTCTATGCATTTCAATTCATAGTGAACCTTCAGCGATTCATGACAAATGCAGCAGCTGAAACATCCCCAACAGCGAATGGGATCCCGCCGGCATTCACCACCCGTCAAACAGCGTCCTGCATACTTTGCCCTCCAAACCCCATGTGCACACAGCGTTTTTCCCTGTCACAGAAGAATCGCTGTTTTCATATCTTTTCACATAAAATTGACCATTCTAGAGGCCTCATCAGTTTCGCGCCTGGGACTCACGGCGCGCCTGAAAGCCACGTACGCCACAGAGTGGCAAACTGGGAAGTCCCTCAGAATCGAGCGCACGAAATAATTCCACAATTCAGAATTCCGCGTAGTCAAGAAAAAGGCGTTTTTCTTGGTTTCTTTGCCTGGACAAATTTACCAACAGATGCCGAAAAGGCCACAAAAGCGAGTCAGCCAGTTGAACCTCTGACAATTCGTGATCCGAAAATGTTCGTGTAAATTTGAATAATGTCTGGCACTGTAACCTGAGAAAGCGAGGTGGCCCCTGCCCAGCCTCGTCATCGCCACACCAGGCAGCGTTTGATGCGATAGTGTAACGCCATCACAAGCAGTCACTTCCTGTGATACCTGTCGCAGCGGACACTTTCAGTACTTTGGTTCGCTGTCCCATTTTGCAATGCTGCCGCAGCGCTTGAACGGCTGGAAATCTGGTGCCCACCGGGAAGTTCCCTGTCAATATTTGAAGGGAAACTACAGCACGACTGCTTGTCAATCAAACAGGTACCCGTTAGCTCCCGTTTTGGCCTGGAGAGCAAATGTGGACATCGACAAATTGTTTACCAACTGCACTAGGGAAAAAGGGCAAGACAACACGTGTTCAACTGTGTACAAAGTTTATGGGTTCTGGTAATCTTCGTGTTTCAGCATGCAGAACATTGATGAAATGCATTTCATATGTGCTCGCTAAAAGTGATACTTTTTTTGCTGGCGTTACTAGCAAATCATCGACAGTTGTTCACTCAGGTATTGTGCGGCAACGGCGCCAGTCAGAGGAAGCATACAACGAAGCAACCACAGGAATGTCCCAGAAGGTGATCAGAGGGAAACCACCAGCTGGTGGTTTCCCTCTGATCACCTTCTGGGACATCCTGCAGGAAGCCACAGAAAGCGGAGAAATGGATGCCAGACACCGCTTCCGAAATCGTAGAGACCAAACGCACACGACATGGCACGGCCGATCCACCAGATATACGGTAGCGATAGTGGTATACGAAACATGGTGTTTTGCAGTTCATACACCTGGCAAACTTCGCCTGCTCTGTGAAAGTTGTGTTCGTGCACCAATTGGAGCGTGCATGCGTTGGCTGCGGTGCGTGTGGTGCATGCGTCCTTTCGAAGGGAACCTGCGCTCTACGCTTCCGCGGAGGGGACGAACGCGTCGGCGGAAACACGAGCGCTGCATCGCCCATTCCACTGTCTTTTCTGGCGACGTGCTTTCCGAAGGTACTTTAACACCTCCGTGGCGGAGGCGAGAAAACAATACCTGCCGGCCTCTCAGCGCATCTTGGCGTGTTCAGACCGCTGCCTGTGGGTACAGTCCAGCGGCACACGAATCCCCAACAGCTGTTTCCGACCATGGGCCGCTCGTGCGCAGTGTGCGCAGGCCATGCAGTGAGATGGTAGGCAAGGAGGCAAGGAGCCGAGGGGAGCAGCGACACTATCGCTGCCGCAGTCGATTGATGTGCACAAACAACAAAACGCAGCGCAACAAGAGTTGTGCGCCATGCAATTACCGACCAAGGCTGCGACTGGTTACGACCGAGCCCGACCGTTCTCACGTCCGCGAAACAGTTCATGGCGTTTCATCCATTTTGGGGCGGCGGGGCCACACCACACCAGGACCCTTGTCTGTGTGCATTCTCCGGCGCATCAGGCCATTTCAGTTCCTGTTCTGGTGAACATCGTGTTCAACAAAACAGTTGCCGCGCACGATGGCGGCCCGGTGTACGTGTGCTGGCGGCTCGCGCAAGCCGGCTGTGGAGCGCGCGCAGCAACTGCGGGACCACGGACCTCGCGGGTGAGAATGCCAGCACCTAGCCATGCCCGTTCGCTGTCGCTTCCGTGCTGCGTGCCGATCACAAAGACAGCAGCAGGTGGGTGGATGGTTGCAGGTTGGGGGGGGTGGGGGGGGGGTGGGATCCGTCCGCCTTGACAGGTGCTGTGGGTGGACTGGGCCCCGGGCACCGGCGGAAGGGCGAAGCACTTGCTGGAAGATCGCAACACGCAGCAAGGCGTGTGTCAGCGTCAGAGTCCAGCTCGGGATTATGTCACTTCAATGCTGCTGCGTCAGTCCCGAGGTTGAGGTTTTGCCCCCTGTCACTCCTCACTGCCCCGGCCCAACCCCCCCGACCCACACTGAGCGTATGAACGGAGGCCTTCCAGGCAGGGCCGCCAGCGCGTTGGCCCCAAATAGGCGCGGACGGCGTTTCCCGGGAAGACGGGGGTCCGCTTTGCTCTCCGTCAACGGCCAAGCAAGCGGAAGGGGTTCACAGTCGATCGCAAAACTCGAGAAAGAAGACACAAAGAGACCAAGGCGCACTTCTTCGAGACTAACGATGGCACCCTCGTGCCCAAGCCCAAGGGCTGTTGCTGATCGGCCTCGCCGCGCTCGAACGCCGATCCTCTAATTGCCCCCCGTGCTCGGCCGGTTGCAAGGGAACCACTCACAACAGCTCAGCTCAAAACACATGCCTTCCTCAAATTCAGTATTTCAAACAAAGCGCGGTCGGGCTGCTCGGACGCCGCGGCCCGCATGGACCCTTCTCCAAAGCTGGAAAACGGCTTAAGCGCCAGGCGTCGCCTGTTGTCAAGATTGCTTTCGGGCGCCAGGAAACACGGGCGGCTGCAAAGGGACCGGCGCCGGCGCTTCGCGCCGTTGTGCGGGAACGGAGAGCGTCAATCATGCAGCGCCACGCCCTGCAGAGCGTGCTTCGACTGTTCGGTTGCTCCACCGGCGGTCAGCCAGAGGGGGCATCAGTCCGGGTGTTGCAACGTCCAAGTTTGTTACAACATGCGCCCCAGGGCTCACGTCGAAGTCCGGGAATTCGTCTCCCACGCCCCGCGGCAAGCAACTCGCCCTACAGTCCCAAAGCAACTTATTGCGCCAAAACAGGCCTTCGAGCCCCCCCACTCTCATGTCCCTTTCCTTCTTCGTCCGTCAGACCATACCGCCTGCTGAATCTCAGGAGGGGCCTCCCTGGGAGGCCGCCCCGATTGGCCCTCTCTGCCCCATCGACCGCTCAGCGCCGTCCGGCGCTAAGCGCGCTCTCCGCGGATTCGGCGAGCCAGCTGGATGTCCTTGGGCATGATGGTCACGCGCTTGGCGTGGATGGCGCACAGGTTCGTGTCTGCAAGCCACAAAAGAGCAGCCCGCATGGTCAGGACGCCCGTTCAAACAATGGAGCGCACAGCGATACCATTTCTGGCCACACCCCGCGCTTCCCCGTCTGCCCTTCTTTGTCCCCAAGCTCTCCCATCTCCCACAGCAACCATAGAACTTACAGCGACCATTTTTGTGGCAGTAACAGCGACGTTTGCGCCTCGTGAAGTCGCAGTCGAAGTCCCAAAACGACGGCCAGAACAGCAGCACCAGCAAGAAACAAAGCAATAACAGGCGGCGCCCCAGCACATGCGCTTTCCTTTGAGCAAAGCGTTGTCGCCAAACTCTCTGTCCAATCGCCCACAGCGCATACTGAACTTACTGTGCGCACTTTTGCGGCTGCAACAGTGGGGTGCAAGGGCTCGTCCAGCTGTAATCAACGTCCCCATAAAACGGGAACAACAGCAGCAACAACAAACAGCAACGCAGCAAGAGCCAGTGCCCCAGCGCATGCGCTTCCCTTTGACAATGGCTGCAAAACAAAGGTGGAGAATTGCAGTTTTCGTGGGTCCCAAACAGAGTCGTTTTGGGGCGGAATGGCGCGATGATTGCTCAGCTGGTCGCGAGAGAGCGGCAGGCGCGAGCGCAGGCACGCCCCTCTGCGTTGCCTGGCCTCGCCGCCCACCTTCGAACAGGCCGACGAGGTACGCCTCGGCCGCCTCCTGAAGCGCCAGCACGGCGTTGCTCTGGAAGCGGAGGTCAGTCTGTGCGCGGTGCAGCACACCAAAAGGAAGTCAGCGGCGCAGATGCGCGGATTGCCGGCAAGGGCGGCACGGCACGCGGCGGGGTTTTGACACGGTGGGGCCGGGGAGGGCAGGTTAAGACAGGATGGCGCTCGCCGCACCCACCTTGAAGTCCTGCGCGATTTCCCTCACGAGGCGCTGGAAGGGCAGCTTGCGGATAAGCAGTTCCGTGGACTTCTGGTACTTCCGGATCTCGCTGCGGCCGCAAATTTTAACGGGGTCAGAAAGGACGCGCACGATGGCGCGCTGGGTGGGTGGGGAGGGGGTAGACGCCCAAACTCTGGGAGGGGTCTCAGGTGGAGGATTTTCAAGCGCGGTGGCGTTGGGCGGTTACACTACGACAAAGATGCACGCACAGCACGGCCGCCGGGAGACAAACTGGCACTGGCTGCGCCGCGCCACAGCGCCACACACACCCCGCCGCGCAACCCACCCTCGCACCTCCCCGCGTCAACAATTCTCGAGATGCGGACTTTGCCAACCCGCAAGCTGCCGGCCGCTGGCCGCTTCTGCCGCCTCAACAGACCCCAAGCGGCGGCCCACGACGGCCTAGTCTCCGTCCCCCGGCCACAAACCGCCCGCCCATAGCCGTGGCCCGCCCAACCCACCAAGAAAGATTTCCCCCCACCCCGCCCACCCACCAGCAAACACCAGAATTCAAACGTGCACCACGATTCCCCCTTCCCTCCCCCCCTCCCTCCATTCCCGCCATCCTGAACGGGGATCGCCGGCGGCCACCCGTCCCCGCGACAGCGCGCGGACCCGCACCCACCGCAGGGCCACCGTGCCGGGCCTGTAGCGATGCGGCTTCTTGACGCCGCCCGTCGCGGGCGCGCTCTTCCGCGCGGCCTTCGTGGCCAGCTGCTTGCGGGGCGCCTTGCCGCCCGTGGACTTGCGCGCCGTCTGCTTTGTTCGCGCCATGCCGCTCGACTCTCCTCGCAGGGGGTGGGCTGGAGAACTTCAAATTGGCGGAGAGGGTACAACAACAGGTGGGGGAAGAACGGGGCCTAATGGGGGCCGATGTGCAGACAGCAGGCAGCGAAAATGGGGAAGCGGTTCGGTTTTTATGGGGGAAAGGGGGCAGAAGTTGGCGGGAAGGGCGCGCGGGGCCGTTTGTGGCGGAGATTCAAACCGGCAAGGGGTCAGATATTGGCCGGGATCATGGAGGGCACAGTCGGCATCGGTGGGTCTTGTCGGCGGGCAACGTGTGCCGGGGGTCCCCGAGGCCGTTGGGAATCAGTTGGCGTGGTGCTTGGCAGTTTGGTAATTCCATGTCAAGCAAACTTAACTCATTTGCTGCCCATTTCAGCAAATAAGTACCGCCCCTGATCTGATGGTTACATGCCAAAAAACAGAAAAGAAAAAGAACTGCGGCCGGCGCTGATTGCCGTGTGTGAAAATCAAAATATGCAACATTTTGCTTTGACTGCAAGTGTCGAAGGCCTAGGACAGCGCCGCCCTCACATCTGCAGGGCAACGAACGGTGCATGGCGCTTTCAGACTGTTCGACAGTGGTGACCGGCCGTGCAGGTGAGGTAAGCATGTTCCTGACAGCATCAATGGACGGCTTCCACCTGGCACACAGTGCCAAACTGTCCATCATAGCAAATTGGCGGTTTCCCAGACAAACCTTGAACCGAAGCCCAGGGGGCTGCACCATCCAGTGCTTGCACGTTTGTCGCTCATGCCTCTCAGCGCTTTTCGGCGTTGTAAAATGGCAGTGGGGCGGCACCATTCACTGCTTGCAGATTTGTTGCTTTTGCCTCTCAGTGCTTTTGGGCGTTGCAAAATGGCAGTGATGGCAGTGGCGAATGGATGACCAAAACGCAAAGACAGTGTGAGAATTGTGACAGCTGCCCAGACATGAGCATCACACAGTCACAGAATGGCGAAGGCAGCAAATTCTTACAAGCATTGTTCGTTGGCAACTCCTGTGTTGCAGGAGCGGCAGCGAACGTCCAGAACGGATGCTTTGAGTCCTCAACACAAAACTCTGCAGGCCCACAGGCTCTCCACTCAACAGTAGACGACCCACAACAAGACAGCAGTTTGATGCTTGAGCTTCCACATTCATGAGGACTCCGTCTAGCACGACTGCGAGGCAGGGACGCCCCCAAATCCAAAAAGCAAGGCTCGATGACTTAGGCGCGCTCTCCACGGATGCGGCGAGCAAGTTGGATATCCTTGGGCATTATTGTGACACGTTTGGCATGGATGGCGCACAGGTTGGTGTCTGCAGACCACCACAGAGAGACTAAGGCATACATGGATTGCAAAGGTTGGGAGACTCTCACAACATCCTCCACGGCAAGAACAACAGTAGCCATTCATTGGCCACCAACTGTACATACGATGACACAGAAAAAGCGATCCCAAAATCTGTTGGAGCATGTGTTGAAGATGCTCACTCTCAAGAACAAACTGTTTTGTGAAAAGGGTACGTCACGAGAAAATCGCAGAGCTTGGCCTTGTCAATACTGTTGCACATGATTGGGAATCATATAGTGGCAGCATCTCTGCGTGCCTGTGCCCTGTGCCTGGTGAGCAAGTGTAAGGGCCATGTAGGATGCAGAAATGCACCCATCACAACATGACAAGCTTCTTCATATGAAAGACAACCTTTGACTCTGACACGCAGCGGCAATGATGCGGCACAGTGGAAGTGGAAGCAGCTGGACATTTCAAGGATTGTGGTTGTCCAAATGGCATGGCAAACAAAGCCTGCAACTTGCACGCGATGATGTGCACAGAAACATCCAGCCAGTGGTCGTTCAATACCCCACTATCGTACTCCAGAATGTTGCCCAGTTGCACAGCTTAGAACTGGCACCAGTGAGGAAGGGATGAGCTTCACATTCTCAAAGCCTGCGCGTTTGCAACAATTGCCTGAACAGTTTCCAGTCCCTCTGCAAATGCATATGTTCAGGGCTCAGGGCAAGGGGCCACAGGTGTTAGCAAGGCGTTGCAGGCATTCTGTGCCTGACAGGTTGGGTCAGGCGGAGGTGGTGCTACACACCTTCGAAGAGGCCCACAAGGTACGCCTCTGCAGCCTCCTGGAGGGCAAGAACAGCGTTGCTCTGGAAGCGGAGATCAGTCTGGACAAGCAGCGATCGATGGACACTCAGCACAACACACCAGCAACCATCAAGCAACAATCAAGAAATGCTGGGACAAGGGCAGCAATGCTGTGCAGTCCAGCACTCGTTCCACCCATAAAAGTTGTGTGTCGATTTCCGCAACAGGAGACATTCTTGAGCAGACTGACAGCCACAGAATCCAGAATGTGCATATGCCATTGTGGACCAGTGGTTTTTAGGCTGAGCCCATAGGGTGGACAAAGGCAAGCCGATGGCCATGGCAGTCTCGTCTGGGTGTCTTCAGCAGAAGTCGTGCCCAGCACTCGTTGTCCACACCATATGTGAGGGAATCCGGGACACGGCGAAACATCGCAACGGGGACAAGGTGACGCAGTGACACTGCAATACACTGGTGCAGTAGAGTTCAGCACACACAATGCGCATCCCTGACCTCATTCATCCTTGCGGGCTATTCGCCTCCGCTTGCCAGCAACCGTGTGCGTGAGGTTGCAGCGCATTCGCCAGGCCCAGGGTGCACAGTGGAATGCAAGCCACAGGGTCGAAGGGGACGATGCACACAAAGGCGTGGGCCTCAGGGGAGGCCCAGAGGCCACAACGGCACGCGGCCAGTACCTTGAAGTCCTGCGCGATTTCCCTCACAAGCCGCTGGAACGGTAGCTTCCTGATGAGCAGCTCCGTGGACTTCTGATACTTCCGAATCTCGCTGGGCGCGCACCAGGCCAGGGAAATGTCAGCAACAGGCCGATGACGTTGCCAAGCAAGGCAGCACAGCCCGCTCCACCTTCGTGCCGCAAAACCCGGTCTGGGTGGGTTAGGCTCCAGCGCGAGAACGCGCCTATCCGCCCCTGGGTGGCGTCGGTCAGGACTGTGCCAGCGGCGCCAAGGCAGCCGGCAACTGTGTGAGCTTCGTGCATCCTCTCAAAATTGGAAAGGGAAGTCGCACAAGCCCCCCCCTCCCCCCACCTCACCCCCCCGAGATTCATGCATCCCCTCAAATTCGCACAGTTGAGATGTGCCCGCGACCCCAAGCTGCCTTCCCGCCGCAAATGGAGCGAAGCGGATAATAACACGACAGCGGCCGCGCACTGGTGGCACTCAGGCCCGTGCCACCGGCCGCGGAGCGCACGCTGCAGCCCCAACACACCCGGGTTCGCCAACATCAAGGGCCTAAACTCGTCCCGGGGCCTCTACCCACCGGAGCGCCACCGTGCCGGGCCTGTAGCGATGCGGCTTCTTGACGCCGCCCGTCGCGGGCGCGCTCTTCCGCGCGGCCTTCGTGGCGAGCTGCTTGCGGGGCGCCTTGCCGCCCGTGGACTTGCGCGCCGTCTGCTTCGTCCGGGCCATGCCGCACGTCGTTCGGCAAACAAGGCTCGAGGTGCGCTGTGTGCTATGAGCCCGGGCTGGGGTACTCTGGCTGCCGGGTGCTATCGGTAGGTGGGTGATAGCGTAGGTTTTAAACCCTGCGCATCAGAAAATTTCACCGTTGAGCTTTTGGCTCAGCACATTTTTTCAGTGCGTTGTTTCATTGCTTCTACGTTCCCCCGCGAAAATTTCATTAACAGAGCGTTATTTTAGTATTTTCTCCGCAGGAAAGGGTCAAGCAATACGTTGCTATGCGGAAAGGGCTTAAACACCCACGTCATGATGGCAAGGTGGGCTGGAAAAGGGGAAACGGGGAGAGAGATGAATCAAGGCGTAGGCTGGGGGCCGGGGACAAGCGGCCGCAGAGATGGGCGGACGAAAGAAAGTGGCTCCGAAGATGGTATTCTGTGGGGGAGACGGAAGGTGGGCAGCGGGGCAGAAGTTGGCGGGAAGTGGGCGTGGGGCGTTTGTGGCAGAGGTTCAAACCGGTGGGATTCAAATATTGGCGGGGGGGGATCACCGAGCGCACTGCCGTTGGCCCGTTCCACGAAGGCAGTCGCGGGTGCATGTGAGGAAGGCTTGAATGGGGAGGTGGCAACCGACTTCGTCAGCTTGCGTGGATTTTGCTGCAGGGAGAGGAGGAAAACCACTCCCCCTTCTGCTCCATGTCCCTGGAAGAAGTTCTGGCAATCTCATGAAGTGATAGGAATGGCGTCCACCGAGAAACTTGACGTTCTCGCCAAGGCAGTCAACCACCCGGCTCAAGCTTTTGCCAAAGTTGCGCGAGATGCCAAGTGGCCCCTGACCGAGCTGGGAACAACTGGGCATCTCGCGCGCGATGCTTCGCATAATCGAAGAAAGTGTTCTCCACGGATGGGGCTGAAACTGGACGTCGCTTTGGTTTGATTTTCGGGTCCAGGGCACGCTAAATACTTGAGCGGTGACGATTTGCAGCAGCAAAACTGAAGCTTTAGCATATAGGCTGAGCCCCTAATCGGAGCCTCCTCTTGCCTTGAAGTGCTGTGAAAGCTTTGCAAGTGCACAGCTTGATTTCCCACACTGTAAGCCCACGACCTCTTCAGAAACCAGGTTGCTTCCAGGAGACACTCCACGAGTACAGCGTCAGAATTGGTGTTCAAACCTCTGCAGTGTGCGAACAGTGGCTGGCATTTCGCTGGTGTGCTTGAAGACCCCATCCGTTCCCTCAGCAGCTTCCCTCCATCCACTCGGCATCCCCAGAACGGGTGATTGCCTCGTTGAGCGACCACCAACCTGGAGGCAAACTTTTTCAATTTCTCGTTTACAAATCTTTTCTGTCCATTTGTGCCGCTGAAAGCGCGGGGTGGGCAGCCGAACCCAACGTTCAACAGCAGGCAAAATAATCATAAGTGTGGATGAGCACGCGGCCCCGCTGCGTCGTCCCCTAGCACCAATTCCAAGCAAACTCTATGTATGTTCTCCCCCAGGCACGCACACGCTCCCTACCTCACCCCTTCAGCACCCCCACCAGGCAGCTGCCCCAACTGTAGGCATCCCAGCCTCGGATGCCTCAACATGTCATATCAGCCTTGAGGCGAACAACGAACTCCACCCGCTCCTGTCCCACTCAGATGCGTGCCACGAGAAGCGAACATCTCCCTACCCACACAAGACTTACAAAGTCCTATCTGCTCTGCCCAAGGAGCATTCACCCTGCCCCCTTCCCTAAATCGTGTCCTGAGTCCCCCCACTGAAGCCAGTGTGATTGCAACCCCTGCCCAAAGATCCAGAGCGCCACTGCAGTAGAGACGGTCACAAGCCCTGATCCCCCGCCAGCCCACGCCGAATTTCACAACATGGCCTAGGAAGCACAGGCAACAAGCCAGGGCGCAGCGCACGGCGCCTAGCCATAATTCGCCTTGTAAAAATGCTCAAAATCGTGGTGCTTTTTGGACTCGTCCACGCCGTCCTCCCATGTGTACTTCTTCTTGAAGGCGATGCCCCTCGCGAACTTCTCGGCGTTGGTGCGCAGGTCCCGCACATGCACCTGCCAGGCCTGGTCCATCAAGCCACGCATCTCCTCGTCCACCTCCGACCCATCTGGCGCCACAGACACATTCTCCAGCCAAGGCTCATCTCTCATGTTGTACCACTCCACGCCATACACGGGCAGCGGCACAACACCCCCATTGGCCAGTGGGCTCACTAGCGGTGGGTGGAAGGTGTGGAATGTAAGAAAGCGCGTGACCAGTGGGGCGTCTGGGATCCTATACAGCGGGTACCATGCCACGCAGAACCAGGACGCTGGGTGCAGCTTTTTGAGCTTCAGTTTCTTGAGATCCGGGAAGGACTTGGAGAGCTCCATGACGGCGTCATACATGGGCAGGCGGTACCAAGGGGGCTTCTTCTCGAAGTGCTCGAAGTGCAGGCGCATGTGCTGCGGCCACATGTTGATCTCACACACGTAGCTGTGGGGGTCTGTGGGGCCATCGCTGGGGAGGAAGATCTGGACGGCTGACAGGTAGGGCAGGAAGTAGGCCATGGAAGGGCCTCGCGTCCCTGGCAGGTATGAATGGGTCAACGCCATCGACTCTTGACTATTGCCTTTGCTGCCACTTTGTGTTCAATGAACTCCTGTTAGACTCGGAGACGAGTGGCACAAAATTCAACAATGTGGGGGGTTCACTTAAGAAGTAAGGAGAAACAAGAAGTAATGGAAAAAACATCGAACACAAAACAGACAAAAGAGAGATTTCGTCCCCATTCAAGTACACCCCAAGAGAAGAAAATCATTCACCAGTGTATGACATGCAGTATGTCTACCACAAGCACAAACTTTACCATTCGCCTGTAAAACTTCTTGACCAAAGATCTGGGTAGTGGAAGCGATCAACAACGAAAGAGGGGAATGCAGAATGGAGCTGGGAGCCTCCCGCACAATCGACACATGATTCTTTAAAAGAGAAGGCACTTTGAAAGGTGACACACATTCACAAGCAACAACGTCTGAGGATATGCAGCACCTTAATGATGCCATAACAGTCCACAGGTGCATCACAAAGCACACCGCAATGAATGCAGAAAGTCAGCGCGACCAGATGCACCAAAACCTGATGTAGTGTCATGGCGCCCAAAGAAAATCACAGTCAACCAGGGCCCAGCACAAACACACGATGTCCTGAAGTTGATGGGGACGTTGGCATCACCAAGGCAAAAGTGCGACCACCATGGTAGAACAATGCTGGTGTGCTGCCTATGGAATGGAACTGGGCCCAGCTGTGCATCACTCAGATGGAGTACACACTGACTGCACGCAGAGGATACAGGTGGAGTGCACATTGCTACAGCCTTTCTGGTGAAACTGTACTCCCTTGACTAGGCTGGTGGTCGTGGGCTTCAGGGGGCTGCTCCATACTAAGGAACATAGGGGGGTGATTGGATTCCACGACACAGACCTTGCCGGTGAACATTTCTTTCTGCCAGATTTCTGAATAAAATTTATGTTCTCTCTATGATTCTCTGGAGAAATTTTATGTTCTCTCTCTCTATGTACTGTTCTCACCTCCCAGAATGTAGACTTCACGGCCAAACATGCTGGGCTCGTAGTAAAACTGCCACACGTCCGCCTGTGATGCACACTGCCGGGTCAGCAACTGCCCATACTCCAGAGCTGTTCTGGCGGCTGCATTGTTCAGGGCTCACACTGACTCACAATTGTGCTGCATTTGCCTGCAGCCCCTGAGTTCCACAACAGTGCTTTTGCGTCATGCTCATGCCGAGGTGAGAGCGTGGCATGTGCGGGATGCATGCACACATTACTGGCAGCTGCTCCCAGTCATAGACAGGGGAGTCAGGCAAAAAGGCGAGTAGGGACAGGGGGGGTGGGGTGAGGGCGGGGGGTGGGCATATGGCAATGAACCAGCCCTGAGGGGATTGCTGCTGGCAGATGCAACAGGAGCTGCCATGTCAGATGATGAGTTGTACTATCCCCTCTTGATGTAATGCCAGCAACCATGGCAGTGCAAGAGACCATGGCCAAACAACAGACAGCACAATGAAAACCACAGCTAGCAGTCGCCCATCTCCTGTTTCTTCCCCCTGCTTTCAAAACAAATAGCTTTTCAGAATGTGCAGAAGAACAGCACCAGCCCCTATTTGCAAGTGAGCTTCATTGTTATTGGTGAGAATCAAGCTGCACATGCGATGCTTTGAATACAGCACACTTACGTACATTTTAGAGCCTTACACGGCCTTGCAATTCTTGCAAGTTGACCAACTCTCTGTGTCTCTTCCGCAAGGAGGATCAACGCCGCGTCTCTTGAAACCGAAGCAACACACTGCAAGGAAATGAAGGGGAAAATGTCACCCACGAGTTTCAGATCCTCAAGCGCCTTTTCCACCCGCTTTTTGGGGTCCACCTCCAGCATTGGCGTGGCCTGGAGCAGCAGCCGATCCAGGTCGTTTGTAGGCGGTGGGATCCCATTGTGTGGAAGGGCCCCCCTTGGCACCCCAGCGGCATCCATTTGCGAGCTCTTCTCCCGAGTTGGGGTATCCAATGCCTCCCATCCCCATGCAGCCACCTTGGGAGGCTTGGCTTCCGCCGCACAGGGCAGGGGCACGGCCGCCTTGCTGACGGACACGTGGCGGGATGACATCACAGGTGGTTGCCGCGTGGTAGACGACCCCATATCTGATCGCGAACTCATGCCAAGATGGTGGGTATTAGAAGCCACCTGCTCAAGGCCCAGCCCCGGAGGGTCCATGTCTGCTGATGTCTCCCTGTGCACGGTGGGCAAGGAGCAGCCCATAGGGGTGTCACCCACGGACTGGCTGCCATGGCACTCAGCGGCCTTGTCAGGGTCACCATACAGCAAACTGTTGGCAAGCTGGAAATTTAGTTTGTGAGTTTGGGGCGCCCCGGATGCATAGCCGTTCATGTGCCGCCAGTCCTGCTTGCCAGTCACCTCCTTCACATCCTGGGGAGCGGAGCTGGGCACCTGAGGCGTCTCAGGCACCTCGGCACAAGCGCTGTGCTCACCGGCTCCAGACCCCTCCAGCGATGCACTGGACTTGTTGCTGCGGCGTATGTACACATCCTCCTCATCAAAGTTGTTCATGGCAATCGTCAGCTGCTCCCTGTCTATCATAACCATGGGGTGCACCGGCCCAACAGCACCCTGTTCTGGGAAAAGCTGCCTGTTGGGATACGACAGCACCTTCTCCATCGCTCCGAGACCCTCTCGGCCAACACCACCAGCCTCCATCCCCTTCTGCGCCATTTGCACATGGCTTGGCACCACGTTGGCCATCGAACCCACTGCTGACAACGCAGTAGGCTGGGTTTTCAGGCTCCCGCTTGCAGCCCCATCCACTGCGGCCGATGCTGGGACTGTGGTACAGCCAGGACCCACGTTGGGAATGGTGCCGGGTCGCTTGACAGAGCTGGCAGCCTTTGGCAGGGCTGGGTCTGAGGGTGCGGGGTCCCTCTCTTTGGCCTTGCTGGCTGCAGATGATGGCCCAGTAGGTGCATCAGTGCATTGCCTCTGGTCTTCTGATCCAATGTGGAACTTCTGCTCTGTGGCTGCCCTACCATGCTGCTGGTCGCTGCTTAGGTTAGTAGGCCCAGAAGTGGGTGTCGGCCGAGCTTTCACAGCCATGGCAGATGGCATGATTGGCACCTCCATGCTGTGGTCTGACTGGTGCAAAGCTGCGCCCGAGGCTGTGGAGGTGACTCCATCTGAAAGCACAAAGGCAAGAACGTCACAATTGGCACAGGCAGCCATGTCTTCACCTGCAAAAGTGAAAGGAGCAAAAATGCAACGCCCTTGCAAGCTCAAGGCCAAAGAGGGCTTCTCCAACTGCAGATTGTCCACTGGAGGCTAAGCCTGGCCCACAAAGGTAGATGTTCCCTAGTGTTTATTTTTCTGATCTGCATATTGTGTGTGCCTTCCATTATGCACCAAACGTGCAGATACAGTGGACAAGTGTGATATCTGGGCTGACAGCACAACAGACGTTGTCTGCGGCCCTTCTTTTCATCTCAGTGCTCAAAGCATGGCAAAGCACTAGTCTTGGCTTTTCACTTCGACGCCGGGCATTATCTTTGCATTACAGTATGCTACAATACAAGTGTATACATATGATATCTATTCCTATTCCTACTCACACATATACCCTGTCAAGGCAAGTAACCAATGAGACAACAGGCACCAGGCCCTCAGGCAATGACCTGAATTCCTTGTCCCTTCTGATGGAGGTGCAGGACCTTTGGGCACGTCCACCTGTCTCCCTTGCTCCGCCTTGTCCATGCTGTCTGTCCTGCTGCGACCATGGTTTATCGTGCTCAGCAGCTCAGAAACAAACGCATTGGCCTCTTGTGACTCAGAGGGTGGCACTGTCCGAAAATTCCCCTCAACACCCTTTTGCATGTGCCTGAGTTCATTACCATCCCCACGGGCATGAGCAGCCTGAGTGGGAGGTGTCCTTGGCTTGGCCCCAGCCCCTGTTGCCGCCTGCCCATTCTTCGCATGGTGCGGCACGGCTGGCACACGCGAGTGCTGCAAACCACCCCTGCTGCTTGGACCCGCCGCGACATGCACGTGCGGATGCCCAAACGGGTTCCCCACAACCTGGTGGCTGGCAGAGTGCTGTGCCATCTGCCCATCTATTTGACCCCTCCCAACAGGCGTGCCAGGCCCCCTCCCAGCCCTCTTTTTTTTCGGCTTTTTTCGTCCCCTGCCTGCCTGACTCAAGGCTTGCTGGCCCATGGTGTTCCAAACCTCAGCTGGGCCTGCATCCCCCTGCTCCCTCCCAGCCTGCTGATCGCCCTGCACTGCAGGACCTTCGCTGTCCTCCTGCCTGGGATGGTGTTGTGGGCCGCAGGGGATGTTGGCAGCCTGCGTGGGGTCAGCGACGGCCTCTCTGCCAGTTTGCTGCATCGAATCGGCAGTGGCAGTGCTTGAGCTCCCCGCTTCCAGGCTAGCTGTGTCCTTTGGCACAACTGCGAACGTGAGGACGATGCCGTTCAAATAGGGGGGGTCCTCCTTGACAGAGAAGCGTGCAATGCAGCTCTCGAGGTTGCTACCTATCAGCCAACAGCAATTAGAGCATGAGATAACCTGCACGATTCTGGTAGAGAGCACTGCCACATGCAGAAGTTAGGTTCCTAAAATAGGGGCCACACTGTGTTTCTGCTATTGACACCAAAGCCAAGCTGACAATCGACAGCAGCACGCACACAAAAAGTGGGCTTTGCTTTACATGATCAGTGTCAAACAGATCAAACTGAGGTGAGTTTTCCGCATTCTGGCAGACAAGCACAGTGCATGGGCTTGTTGCACTCCTGCATGCTGTCTACTTTCTTTCTCACAGTTGTCGATGGACGTCAGATAGGGTTGCAAGTTGGAAAGGGCCCAAATCATTCTCCTTGGCAAATGTCGCCTAGCGAATGGCCTTCCTTGCTGACATAAATGAATAGCACAGACAAAATGTGCAGACCATTCAATCTGTGGCATTCTGAACATCATGCAGACATCGTTTAGAATCTCCCAGGTAACCATACAAACAGAACATACCAAGGGCATCTGGGGGAACAACATCCACGGAGCACTGGTTGGACACCTGACTTGTCCACAAATGTCCAAATGCCAAAGTATAAAACCCTGCATCCATTGGGCAATGCCCAGGTGCTGCTCAAATCCAAACTGTATTTAACTATTGTCCTTTTTGGCTATGCACTGTCAGCTGTGGTGGGGCTGTGCTCTTCCATTCCGAGACAGACCCCTCCCCCAGCAGGCAGAGGGCCCCAAACACTTTCAGAGAGGGGTGGCCCCTGCCATCATCCCTTGTCTTCCTTTCAGGACTCCCCTCTACACCAACATCCTGCATTCCTGCCCCAGTGGTCCCCAACCGGATCCATCCCAAATTGGACCCCACCCCAGACCTCAAGATGGATCTCACCACAGCGAATGGCCACGTCCTCCTGCACGCCCTCCTGCGCCACAGCCTCCCGTCCGCCCCTGGCCGTGGCCTTTCTCCAGGCCTCCCCACGCCTCTGCGCGTAGCGCACCCTCTGCTCGCACAGCGACACCGCCGCCCCCGTCTGCCTCCCAGGGATGCTGTAGGCAAACGGCAGGGCAAACACGCGGCCCCTCACGCGCCCAAACAGCCGGATCTGGAAATCAGAGTCCCGAAATTCGGCGCCAACGGGCAGGTGCAGGGGCTTGGACAGATGCTTGGATTCTCCTGTCCCACCCTGGCCCCCAGGCCGGTGCCTGTCTTCGGAGGGCTGCCACCTGTCGAAGGCGAGATGGTAAAGCTGGACCGGCAGCCCGCCGCCGATCCACGCCTCCGCCTCGCAGGACGCACCTTGGTCCGAGTGCCCGGTGGTCTGGAGCTTGGGATGCACCAGCCGTCCGATCGCCGTCCGATTCTTGAAGACGATCGCCTGCGGCGGGCGGGGGGTGAGCGGGGTGATCAAGACGCCAGGAACGCCGGACGGCTATTTTGTTCAACAGCACTGGCGGAAGAGGGAGGAGATGTGACTTGCGGGGGATGCGAGATTGGCCTATGGGCGGGGAGTTGGGGTTGGTTGGCACGAGCGAGGCTGGTGTGTGTGCGTGTGGGCTGGGGCTATGGGGACCGGCGCGGCGCGAGGCGCGTGGTAATCGAAGTGCGAGTCGAGGGCGCAGCGATGACAGTCAACCCGCGTGGGGCACAAATCCGGCAGATCGCAGTCGCGCCATCCGCGGCAGCGTGGGGGTGGCGGGGATGGCCAACATCGACCCGCCTGCGCGGGCGGGCGTTCCGCAGGGTGGGGTGCAATCCACATTCCAGCCCCGGTGGGCTCGTGTGGCGCGGGCGACCTTCAGGCACGTTGGGCGCCCAGCGCCCAGACTCCTTGGACGTCGACCGGCTCGAGGCCCAGCCACCACCCCGCCCCGTGATGCGCCCCAATTGCCCCAACCCCGGGGCCCACGCCCACGCACCCCCACCCTGGATCCCCTCCCCCTCCGCCCCACCCCACGCATTCCCGCGCCTCACATTCGCCACAGACCGACGGCACCGCCCCCCTCCCGCGATCCACTCCCACCTCCGGTGCGCCCATGCACCCGCGCCCGCGCAAGGACCCTCTCTGCGCATTCACTCGCTTGGAGGGGTTGCCCTGCGTGAACCGCTTCTTCCTCTCTCTGTAACAAACGACTTTGGAATCGCTACACAGCCAACAGGCAGCCTTGCAACCTTGCAGCCTTGCATCCCGGCCTGACAGCCTTGTAGCAATCGGTCATACAGCCGGTACCGGGTTCACTAGAGGTCCGCGTGAGTGCGCACAGGAAGGATTCCGATCTTGGAACAAGTCTTCTCTCCCCACCCACCCACCCACCCCACCGCCGGGCACCTCGTTCCCGGGGCCCACCTGCCAGCTGGCCAACTCGCTGAGGATCTCCTCGGCGACGAACTCGCCTCCCTCTGCGGAACCGCCCGCCGATGTGCCGAACACCAGCCGACGCTGCCCGCTGGGGATGCCCTCCTTGTCCCTGAGGCGCCGCTTCACGGCGCGGGCGCACACCTCCCGGTCTTCAACCAACAGCTGCAGCCACGGGCAAACACCCACATCAACATAAAAGGGGGGGGGGGGGGCAGGGCAAACGCACAGTTGGTGGAAATCCACGGCCCAAAGCCCAAACTACCAAAGGGCCTCCGTGTGTGTCTATGTGTGCGAGGGCACGCACAGTGTGCACACGCACCCGTCACCAACGACCGGCTGCAGCCACGGTCAAGCAGCCACATCCACACAGGGGGTCAGTTGGTGAGAATCTACGGTCCAAAGCCCAAACTCCCGAAAAAGGGGGTCTGTGCGTGTCGGTGTACATGAGAACACGCACAGGGCGCACAGGCAGGCGACTTGGGCGAGCGCGGTTGGCTGGAGTGTGGGGTGGCGGTGGGACGCCCATGAGTGGGTTACCTGGGTCACTGCCGGGTTGCCTTCAGTTGCGTCGCGGAGCCCTCCAGCCATGTGGTCGCGACCATGTCAATGAGGCCCCTTTGCAGAACCAGGCTCGCCGGTGCGGGGGGCGGGGTCGCGCCGTTTTACTCGAGCGGTTGGGGGGTCCAGGGGCTGCCAGGGGGCCGCCGTGGGGATGCGGATTAGGTTTAGTGTGCCTTGGAATTTGCCCAGGGAGGGAAAAAGTGAGAAGGTGGGGAGGGGTCGAGCGGATAGCCCTTGGATCGGTTGCTTCTCTTTTTCTGCTCCCGTCCCGATGGTGTGCCGAATTTTTAAGTACCCCTGATGTTTCGCCTATTTTGTTAGGAACTTGCATGATCTGCTAGAATATGACTGATTGAATCCACCAGGATATGGTGAATGAGTGCTAGACCATGTTGATCATGGGATAACGCTTGAAGGACTGACTCCCTTGTTCCGTTGACCCTATGAACAGGCGACCGTCGTTGATGACCATCCAAACCGCATCCCTTTGAGCCTTCTGAGTTGCTGGATGAACATTTGACTCTGGCAGGACTCCTTCTAGGCTCCAACACCCTGAAACGGCATCATTGAGGATGACTCCCATCACTCCCACCTTACTCCCGGATTGGATCGTCAAGGCTGGGAGTAAATCACCAAGGCCGGGGATCGGACCATCAAGGCCGGGAGTAAGTCGCCAAAGCCGGGGATTGAATCGTCAAGGCCGGGAGTGAGTCGCCAAGGCCAGGGATTGGATTGTCAGAGCCGGGAGTGGATCGTCAAGGCCGGTGTGGTGTAAAGCACAGGGGGTAGTATGTTTCTTTAGTAATTGGATTGTTGGGAGGTTAAAGTACAATGAACAATACGATTGAATATCTCATATGATAGTAGAGTCTATTAGGAACTCATAGGTTCTTGAACCACCTCCATCGGGTTAGCGGTAGAGGAGTTATGGTTAGATACATTACCAGTACTTTAGACTCCCTCGCCGGAACCGTATTGGGGGATGAGATACTATCGTTGGGCCCAGCGGCCGCATTGTCACGTGATCCGGGTGGAGGCCACCACCTCAAAGGGGGGACCTCCTGTCAGACTGTAATTCCATTCTCTCGCCCACTCCGCGCACTCCGCGGCTGCACCTGTGACGTGGTTGCTTAGGGTTTAGGCTTGTTTGACATTTCTGGAGTGGTAATTACGTAATTGGCTAAATCGACCTTTTTTAGGACGTTATTTAGAGCTTCTTGGTTCCAACGAGCTTTTAAACGCTCGATTCCGTTAAGAAATGGCGAAGATATGGCCTCCTAAAATCGTAGTACTTAAGGCCAGGGGGTCGGGTGTTAGACGCTTGGAATTAGAGGACAATGGGTCGATCGTAGGTGAACGGTGGATGGTGACTGGGTGCCTGGACGCGCACATGAGTTGTCTTGTCTTGATGTGATAGCGATGGACCCGCGATCGGGTATCGCGCATGCGATATGTGTGCGCGCATACTATGAATCCGTGTAACCGTTCTGGCCCACTCTTTGGCCTCCCGCGAGCCAGCGAACCGCCACACCGCTGCGCCGCCACCTCTCGCCGACAGCAGGCCCCGGGGATCGACCCCCGTCGAGCATTGGGCCCACCACGTGACCTCACAATCGACTGCCCCTATTACGCCCACCGTCCGAGGTGGAGAGGCCAGCCGACCTCCAGCAGCTTAGCTGCAGGGCAGGGCGACCCCAGAGCCTCCGGAAACCAGCGGCTGCCAACGGGCTGCAACAGCACCCGTGAGCCGCACGGCGTCGCGCATCCACAGCGCGCCCGGCCACCCCGCGCCCAGCCATCCGCAGGCCTAGGCCCACACTGCGCACCCCGAAGGAGCGAGCGCCCTGGACAGCCCGCCGGTCATCCGGCGGAGGAGGACCATCCGGGCCGAATTGGGTGCCGCGGCGGGAGCCTCGCCTGCATCGAATTGAAAACCACGCCAAGTGGTTTCGGAGCCGGCGGGCGCGGATGGCGGAAGCGCGCCACGCGGCGCAAGAGCACAAGGGGGCCCCATCCCGTCCAAGGGGGGTCCCCATCCGGGAGATCCGAGGAGAGGCGGCCGGCCAGGCACCCCGCGAGGGGGTCTGTGTTACGCGCACGGGCCTGAAGTGGGGGACGCCCTACTAATGGCCCTTGGTGTGGGGGACGCCCTGCCCAAGCTACCTATCCTCAACCCTTGGTAACCGTTCTAGGTATTAGGATACGGGAGTAGGAGGGGTGGTCCCGCCTAGGTCCCCATAAGGACCTAGGTGCCCGGCGAGGCGGGTCCGCGGCTCAAAGAGGGCAGGAACCCCACACCCACACGCTTTACGTATCATTTGGTTTTGGAGCCACCTGGGGGTGGCTACCACGCTTTCGCCTGTGCGGGCGAGCGAGCACAGAACACCGGGCCCCTTCCCCGGCCTCTTCTATGCAGGCTGAGGAAATGGATCCTGATGCCCAGAAGGGCACGCCCGAATCCTCGGGCGAGGAAGAGACACCCCGGAAGGGGACGCCGACCAGTTCGGTCGGTGAGGATGTTACAGCTCGGAATGGGCAGGAACAGGAAGAAGTCCGGATGGACGTTGCTGGCACATCGTCGGGTCGAGCTGAGCCGGAAGGTAGTGACCAGCCGATGGCCGAGGCGGAGGAAGCCGTAGGAGAGGAAGCCCCAGAAGAAGAGGCACGAGAGCCGGGTATAGTGGCAGCCCTATTGCAGACGCCTGGCATCATGGAGATTCTGGAGAAAATGGCGGCCGCTGCGGCTCAACAAGCAAGAGAGAAGCAGGACGAAGAGACCACCGAGAAGATCGCCTCCCTAGAAATTGAAGTTGTGAGGGTGCAGAAAGAAGCCTGAAGAAACGAGGTGGCGATGAGGAAGGCGAAAAAACAGAGCCGCCAAGCGAAAGAGGCCAAGGCCGTCGCGGAGCAACATGTGATCGAATTGAGCGGCCGCCTGCTGAAGCAAAAGATGCGGGCGTAAGAGGCGGAAGAGAAGGTTGCTCAATAAGCGAAATAGCCCAAAAGGGGCCCTGGTCCATATGAGCCGCAAATGCCGATGATTCTAGAAGCGGAGGGCGACTGGAAGACTGTCGGCAAACAGCGGCCTAAGTGGAAGAGCCCGTCGCCAGGTGAGATGGTGCCGAAAGTTTGGACAGGCGCGAAAAAAGACTGGAAGGTCCAGCCCGTTGGGCAAGTGGAGGAGATCGGAGGCCGAAAGGTCAGGACCCCGGAGCCATGGGTCAGGTCACAGGTGCACGTAAGGACACCTAGTGAACCGGAAAAGAGTAGCGACGAGTCGCTCACGGAAAGCGCTCCAGCAATATATGGTGCATCGTTTGCTGGAATATCGCTGGGGCATTTGCGAGTCCAAAAGGGAGTACCTTGAACTCGTAGAGCCCAACGGCGTCACAAAAGCCGTTTTGGAACAATCGGCCTTGTCAATTTGGAGTTGATAATACCTGTTACGAATAGGATGTGGGTGTGGGGTTCCTGCCCTCTTTGAGCCGCGGACCCGCCTCGCCGGGCACCTAGGTCCTTACAGGGCACCTAGGCGGGACCACCCCTCCTACTCCCGTATCCTAATATGGATAAAGGTTACAGTGGGTGAGGAATAGTACGTGCCTTGGGCAGGGCGTCCCCACACCAAGGGCCATTAGTAGGACGTCTCCCACATCAGGCTGGTGCGCGTAACATTCGTCCCCCTCAGGGAGAGGGGCGTCCTCGTCCCAATATAAGTGAATACGGGAGCAGAAACATTGTATGGATGTTGGTGGAACTGGCTGTGCGATTTGCCACATGCCCAGTTAACAAAACACAACACACAAAACAATTTTGGATGAAGAGAAAGAGT